CAGCAAATGGGGAGGGTGGGGCATGAAGGTCATGCCTTTTTTGGTCAAAAGCTGTTTTGGCACCCAGTGTGGCATAGGCAGGTACGCTCATAAATCACCCATCATGAAATGGGCAAATGTGTTGAAAGTCTTCAAAAAAAATTCACTGAAGCTGAATGCAGCCTCTCACAACCACACCAGCTGGTACAGTGATACAGATGGGTTCCTGGAACACTCACCTACCAGGGGAAACCTGTAGAATAAGGGGCCCACCCTCCAGAAGATAACAGCAGTTTGGGGGGAGTTCTCCTTCATAAATGAATTTGTTCCTGTCTACTTAAATTGAAAATATTGGGTTGACCAAAAAGTTCATTTGTGTTTTTTTTGTAAGGTGGCTCTAGTAATGCTTAGTTGTATTTAACTTCATTCAAAAACAATTTTATTAGATTGCATTCTGACAGCTGTCATATCAGCGTGTATTAAAAATACACGCTGATATGACAAAATTGGTGAATTTTTGTGTAGCCATTTTTAAAATGAAGATGGAAGAAAATAAGTGAATTTTTGGCATATTATGTTTATTATTTCAAGAAAGGTAAAAACTCAACTGAAATGCAAAAAAAAAGATTTGTTCAGCATATGGAGAAGGTGCTGTGACTGACTGAATGTGTCAAAAGAGGTTTGTGTAGTTTTGTGCTGGAGATTGCTGGCTGGAGAAGGATGCTCCATGGTCAGGTAGACCAGTTGAAGTTGACAGTAATCAAATGAAGACATTGAGAACAATCAATGCTGTACCATGTGGGAGATTAGCCGATGTACTCAACAAATCCAAATCAAAAAAAGGTAGTGGCGAAAATGAAAAGTGTGTCTTTTATTTTATGGGAAAAACCATATGGAGTTTTTGACCAACCTGATCATTTTTTTCTCTGCTGGGATCCTTGTTTTATTCCAGCACACTGCCAGGTCATCTCTGTACTTTCGTGCATGTGCTTTGGCTTTCCTATGAGACCGCGAACAAACCGTGCATAGGGATCTTGCTATCCACCCACACATCCCCTTGGCACCCAGCAGAATGCCTGGACCAAGCAAGTACTCATTAACTATTTCTTGATTATATAATTAATAAAGCAAAGCCTTAATCATATCAACATGTTTAAATATAATAATACCAACATGTTTAAATTAAACCTCCCCCCCCACACACATTTAAATCTTCAGTCCTTCCTGAGATAAATCACAGTCCCACTTCTGTTTTTGTTTCACGAAGTAGAGATATCTCCCACTAACCCCCTCTCCCACACGCTATGTTCTATTTTTCTTTTTAATAGAATTTATCACTGTGGCTTTTTTAAAGCACATCTCTTTTTTCTAGTCCTCTGCCCTTCTCCTTAGAAACCTGAACTAATATCTATAAGCAAATAACAGTCTCTTGATTTTACTTCCTCGTATAGATTGTTATGTAGGTCAAATTTCTTCACCTCCTTTTTACACCTCCTCCCTCTCCTTGTGAATGCAAATAGTTTTTCTAACGCCTTTCCCTAAATAAGTGTCCAACCCTTAGACTCTTTTGCTTTTATAATTGTGTTACCATGGGTTTTTTTTTTTCAATTAGTACAAAAGCTTGTTGAAACCCTTTCTTAAAGGTCAGTTTGCTAGCAGGGTTTTTCTTTTTCATTTGGAATTCAACCTAACTTCATCAGCCCACAATCACACTGTCAGAGGTTACCCGCATTTGATATTCTCCTACTCCGCAAGCTGAGAATTAGGACTGTGATTGTTGTACCCATTTGCCCTTTCCTGCAAAAAATTCCCCAAGACGTTGTAAGCACAGACTTTCAACTTTAAAAATTATTTGTCAGAAATGTAATATTGTCACTCTGGCCAGGAGACTCAGTTGGTTGGAGAATCATCCCATACACCAAAGATTGTGAGTTCAATCCCCAGTCAGAGCACAACCTACCCTAGGTAGGTAGGTTGCGGGTTCAGTCCCCAGTGGGGGTGCTTCCAGGAGGTAACTGATAGATGTTTCTCTCTCACATCTTTCTCTCTCTCTCTCTCTCTCTCTCTGTAAAAATCAATAACATATCCTCAGGTGAGAATTCCAAAAATGTAATATTGTCTATCATTTAGAAATTGCCTTGGACCAGCATCACATACAGGGTGGAGCAAAACTAGGTTTACAGTTGATAAATATATGAAACACAGGGTTTGTATTATTTCCTGTATACACAACTGTAAACCTACTTTTTCCCCACCCTGTATTCTACATGGCTAGGTAGTAGCCCTTGATTAGTATTTCTCTCACATCACAGCCGAAAAGAATATTAAAAAGTTATGTTACCTCTCTCACCTTTAAAACTTCATATTAAAATTTTTCAGTAGCCCTGGCTGGTGTAGTTCAGTGGATTGAGTGTGAGCCTGGATCCAAAGCATAGAGGTTTGATTCCCAGTCAGAGCACATGCCTGAGTTGCAGGCCAGTTCCCAGCAGGGGATGCACCAGAGGCAACCATACATTGATATTTCTTTCCCTCTCTCCTTCCCTTCCCCTCTAAAGATAAATAAATAAAATCTTTAAAAATTTTTTCAGCATAATTTTAGATACTAGAAAGAATATAATTTTCTATGCAATGTAAATATCGACATTTTAAAATAAGGCTATAATGCTACTGTTTTAAATGTACCAAAAGAAATCTAAAATATACCACAGCATGTTAAAACTCATCATTTTCCATTTAAACAACATCAATAAGCTCTTCTTTAAGTGGTGGACATTTATACTTCCCCTGAACTCACAGTTCCATTTTATTCCCCCCTGAGCATTTTTCTTAATTATTGTACAGTTATGCTTAAAAATACATGTATTTTATCATCTCTCCCTGTGATAAAATACAGATATAATTAAATGTTTTAAATTTTTTTGTGACCGTAAGTTTCTTTATTATTCTTAATTTTTGTATTATTTTTAGTTAGTATTAATATGTAATTGTTTAGTACATCATAAATAAATTATAAAAATAATAAATAATTATCAAATATAAAGGATAGATCTCTAAGTAACAGATGCAGCAGCCTTCTCTTCAATAAATTCAGTGTTCTATGGCCAAATGTCACCTTTCATTAGACTAGGAAAGTATACAGCATCAGTTCAATTGCTAGCTTTCATCTTTTTGGATGGTTCACAGAAATGGGAATAGCACTAGCCAGGTTATCACAGCAACATAATTCTCTGAACACCAAAGTTATCCACGAAACCACAGTGACCTATCCTCTCACATACTGTTTAATGATCTGCCAGCCAATGACAACTCAATCAGGTCCTCCTTAATTTGGCTGAAAGCAAATAATTTAAGCACACCCATCACTGTAGGTTCCTGTCACTAGTCATTCACTCTCATCGTTTCTCAGAAGTAAGGCAAAAAGGCTTTGCCAAGACTTTGCAAAGGACTATTACTTATGTCTCACAGTCTTCCACTCAGGGGTACCTTGTTCAGTCTAAGATATTCAGAAAAGGCTGGAAAAATGACCTTTAATACTGTAATATTTTAATAAAGTGACTTTTTAAAATTACGCCAAATACATTTTTGTCAAACTTGGGGCTTACAGATTTAGACTTTTGTTTGTAGAAAATGTCCATCTTACAGCCTACAACCAGTCCTCATTATCAAACCAATGGCCAAATCAAACTTCCTGAGTCCATTCAAATGAACATATTATTATGCATCCCCATGACATTCACTTCTGACTGCAGAACTTCAACACAGGACACCGTGCCTTATTCCCAGTAACATGCTCTAGTCTTCATAGGATTTGTATTGTATGAGACAGAAAGATAGGAAGCCCTACTTGGGGTTTATGATGCCTCAACTGAAGGAGACCTTGCTGACAACAATATATCAAATTGTTGGTTGCTTTGAGAGAAAAAGAGAAATATCAATGTGTTGTTTCAATTATTTATGCATTCACTGGTTAACTCTTGTACGTGTCCTGAGCAGGGACCAAGCCCCAAACCTAGGTGTATCGGGAGGAGCTATTCTAACCAACTGAGCTACCTGGCCAGGGTTCAAACTGTTTCTTTGTACGTGCCTTCAAAGTTTGGGCACCTGGTGCATAGTAAAGTTCTGATGTACAGGAGACATTTCTTTTTCTTCTCCTTTCTTCTCCTTTCCTCTCCTTTCCTCTCCTTCTCCCTCCCTTTCCCCTTCTCCTTCAAATTACAGAAGAGCAATTGAAAGGGGAAGAGGGAGAGGAGAACCAACTCAACACCTTTACCCCAGGTGTGTTCTTGGGCAGATCAACTTTAGCAAAAGTGTCCACATGCAAGTTGAGGCTCTAGAAACAATTGTTTTAAAACTGTGGTGTCCATGTCTTCCTTGGAAAGTCTCTGTCTACCCCTAGCAATAAACATAAAATAAATCAACTCTACTTAATGAGATGTGAAACAAGGTAACTTTGATAATGCCATGTTGGGGAAAGATTAAATTAGTATTTTAAAGGGGACCAGAGATCTAAACTATCTAACTTTATAAATACATCTCTCATCTTCCACAAAATAACTACACTTCATATTAGATAACTTGAAAAACTATGTGTTAGTCTCCTAACTTGAATGCCAGTCTAACTTTTTATAACCCTCCTCCCAGCACTTACAATTATGCATCGTAAATATCAGAGCACAAAGCAAAGTGAGAAAAGGCAGAGCAGGAACAATGACCCGGCATTAAGTATCTCAAAATTCTCCTTGTTGTTTAAAATGCATTAGGGCTTAAATTTCCTGCAAATGAAGAACAGTACTCACGCATTACTACCTGTAGTAATAACAGTGGTTATTTTGAAAAACAATTAAATCCTCGAGATACAATAAAGACCATTTGAACATTCAAAGTGAAACATTGTCAAGCAGAATTATATATATAATGATAAACATTTTAGTAGAGCTTTAAATTAACATGGTTTTGAAAGGAAAAGTCAATCAGTTTAGCTTTTTTTTGGGGGGGTCTCACTGAGTTCCAGTGACACTCACCGCTTCAGTATGAATCGGATGCACAGCAAAAAGCAACGCCGTAACAAAAGCAAGTCCACGATTCTTGAAGACAGTTTTGTCACACGTGTACATCAGCACAAGGGTCACCAGGCAGTGCAAAATTACATTTACTGCATGAAAGTAAAATGGGTTCATGCCAGTCAAAAATATGTTTAGCCTGTAACAAAAACACAAAAACAAAAACAATTAGCTACAAAAAGAAAAGCCACATAAGCACAAGGAAATCAGAGGGAATCTATCATTTTAAAAAGTGAGCTATTCAAATAATGATTTTTAAATGACTCCCAACCTCAGGCTACTCTATATACTTGAGTATCACTTTTTTCCTGTCTCTGAATTTTCCTGCCCACAGCAATCATTGCAAACACAATGCAAGTTATTTCAGAAGATTTTGTGGTCTTACAAGAAGGCAGGCAGATACGCGCTGATCCTATTTTCCTCTCTTTGTGGCCAATGGAAGCATCTCGACAACACTCTAGCTTCCCTGCTGGTTCTTCTTAGCAGCTGAGTGTTCAAAGGCAAGTCCACAGGGCCACAAGTCAGAGCCATAGCCAGTGGAGATGAGAAAGAAATCACAGGACTGTGACTGTGGCCACAGGTGGGACAAACCAGGCATAAAGGCGTTCTCTTACCCATGGTGCCACAGGAACCAAATTTCCAGATTATGCACCAGAAATCATCATTAATTCCCACCCCACAAGCAAGCATCCTATTACCAGTCACACCTGAATGTGAAAGGATGAGCAAAAGTATAACATTTCATGCTGTTGCAAAGGGTAAATTTTTCTTCTTTTTTTACAGTCAAGTAGAATTATACTGTGTACATGTGCTATAGTTATTTTATCCACTCATCTACTGATGGACACTTGGGGTGCTTCTATATCTTGGAGACCGTAAATAATGCTGCAATGAACATAGGGATGCACATGGTCTTTCAAATTAGTTTTTTTGGTTTCTTCAAATATATCCCCAGTAGTGGGATTGCTGGGTCAAAAGGCAGATCCACTTTTAATTTTTTGAAGTATCTCCATACTGCTTTCCACAGTCGCTGCCCCAACCTGCACACCCACCACCAGGCAAAGGGTTCCCCTTTCTCCACATCCTCACCAGCACTTGTTGTTTGTTGACTTTTTGATGATATAGCCACTCTGACAGGTATGAGGTATGATATCTCACTATGGTTTTAATTTGCACAATTGGAGAAGATTATGCGAAGTGAAATAAGCCAGTCATAGAAAGAGAAGTAGCATATGATTTCACTCATATGTGGAATCTAATGAACACACTGAACTAACAAGAAAAACAGAGACGGACTCACAGATGGAGAGCAGAATGACAGCTCTGGGGGGTTAGGGGGTGGAGGAATGGAGCACAAAGGAAAAAGGATTCATGGGCATGGACCACAGTGTGGGGATTGGGGGGGCATCTAAGGAGGATAAATGATAATGAAAAAATACATTAAAAATGAAATGAGAAAATAAATAAAAATAGAATAAAGGGGGGAAGCATAGCATTTCAGAATTTATATTAAATATTTCCCAATATAAATTCCCATAGATCTCAAATTCTGAATTCCAAGATTATGACAAAAAAGAGAAAGAGAACCACAAAGAGAAGGGAAATTTATTGTTGAACATCTTAAAAAATACTTTCCTGAGATAGAAGTGCAGAACAGAGAGACTTCAAAAGGTTGCCTTAAATTTAATAACAGGGCATAATGTCCCCAGCTGAGCCTGTGGGTTAGAGAAAAAGTACAGTCACACAGGGCGTGGTTCCTTTGCAAGGGGGCGGGGCTGGGGGCAGACACACCCTAAGTGGCACTGCCCATAGGTGTCTGTACTCCAGCCAATTTCTCCAAAACAGCAATCCCAATCTTTACTTTCCTGTCCTTGATCCGCTTCTTATAGAAATACTTCCTCTTTGCCAAAACAATCAAGAATGTAAAAGTCAATGTTAGCGATGACATAGGCATATTCTAAATATCAAACCTGGTTCATGTGCAGCTTTAACCTACAGAATTTTAAACAACTCAAGCTTTATTTGGACACATGAATCTAAATGTCATAGTTACTGATCGACTCCATTTTCATTCCCACTGAACTAAGCTTAGAAAAATGAATTGCCCTGTGGAGTCCAACTACGGGGCCCAGGAGTCTGCCCACAGCTCAGAATCCTTAAGACATGAAGGAGATTGGTGTGAAATAACTCACCCAAAGGGAAAGAGGAGCCAGCAGTGAACTAGGAGACTGGCAGGTGCAACTAAAAAAAGGACAGCAGTGTCCTGTGACAATGTAAGAGAACCCACACATAGTGAGAGAGCCACTGGCAATCAGAAAGCCAGGGATGGAGGAACCGTGAGGAGGGTCAAACCAAGTCCTCATCCCCAGACAACTTGGGTACAGTTCCCTAAGAGCCCATGTCTCTGAGGTTGATCATACACCGTTTTCCACATCATCAGGCTGAGAGTTCCAGGCCAACTAAGCCATTAATTTAACACTACGACCTGTGACTTTGAGAGGAATGAGACAATCTCACATCGGGTTAGTGGACGTCTCTGGGCCACACTGGAAAAAGAGTTGTCTGGGGCCACACATTAAGTACACAAACATTAATGAAAACTGATGAGCAAAAAAAAAATGGTTTTAAGTAAATTTACAATTTTGTGTTGGGCTGCATTCATAGCCCTCCTGGGCCACATGTGGCCCACAGGCCACAGGGTGGACACCCCTGGTTGTCACTATGTACCAAAGGCTTTAAAAATACATACCCTTTGACCAAAAAGTCCACTTCTAGAAATTTTCCATTAGGAAATAACAAGAAAAGTATTTCAATAATTATATACACACATACATGTAATATTGGGACACAGTAAGAAATGTATACTTTGCTCTTCATTCTGACTTCTGGTCAGAGATATGGAAACTTCTATAATTTCCTAAGCAATGAAGATGCTAGGAGCATCTTTCACTCTAACATTTGGTCTCTGTCCCCAGGTCCTAGCACAGAGCTCCTAAATTGCTGGAAATGCCCTGGGTGATAGACATGTCTTTTGTTCTAATAAGGTGACTCTTGGTGGACTCCTGGATAGTTTCAAGATGGGGGCTGGCCACCAGAAGAAAGACCAAGCCATGACTGGAAATTTCAGCCCCACCCCGCAACCTCCAGAATAGGAAGAGGGGTTGGAGATCAAGCATAATAATTGATTATGGTTACATGATGAAGCTTCCATAAAAATCCCTGAACCAGGGTGCAGAGAGCTCCCAGGCTAGTGAACACATCCGCATGACAAGACGGTCCAGCACCCCATCCTGAAGGAGACAGAAGCTCTTGTGCCTCAGACTCTCCAGACCTTGCCCAATGTATCCTTTCGTCTGGCTATTCACCTTTAACCACACCCCTTATTATATAACAAACAGTACACATAAGTGTCTCCCTGAGTTCTGGGAGCCAATATAGTGAATTACTTACTGAACCCGAGGAGCGGTCACAGGAATTTCCAATTTGTAGTCAAGTTGGACAAAATGTAGGTAACCTAAGGACCCACGACGTATGACTGACATTTGATGCGGAGGCAGTCTTGTGGAACTGAGCCATTAACCTGGGGGATCTGATGCTAATTTCAGGTTGACAGTGTCAGAATTAAATTGAAATGTCCTACGCCCCGCTGGTGTCAGAGAATTGGTGGGTTTATCAGAGAGTAAAGCCGCACACCTGGTGTCAGAAGCTGTGAGTGTGAGTGGAGGAAGAAACAGGAGTCTTCTTTTCGTTGCACGAGGATGCATCTCACTGTTAGTTATGAAAATGAGACAGCAAGACATCTAATAGGCCAAACCCCCGATGCATTTGGCTATGATACTGTAGATAACTTGGGATCACAAATAACTGCGCTGGTTTTAAAAAGGGGACAAACGATGGGTTATTTTTCAAAAATATTCATTTTTCAGCCATTTGAAAAGGAAAAAAAGCATCATTAAGGATAGTGCTATTATTACTATATCACCACACTTTTATGAGGCACTTAAAATCATTCCTTTCCCCTTCTAAAAAGGACAGAAATTGGTAGGCATGAGTCGCCCCGGGGTCCATGTAGCTGAGATGCACAGGTGCCATCCATACGGATTATTATTTCTGGAAACAGGTTAGGACAGAGTGCCTGGTGTTTTTAGTGAATTCAATCAGATCCCAGAAGGAAAAACTAAACTGCGACGGGGCCCCACTGTGGTAAGAAGGTGAAGGTACGCTGGTGTCTCACGTGGAGCCTAACCCTGGCAACTACGCTCTGGGAAATCTCCTGGAACCTAGAGTTTGGAGAGTCCCCCACAATGTGGAGAGACCCCTGCAAACTATACACGAGCTCAAAACAAAATGATAACAAAATTTCAGAACTTACCCTTTTTGTGAGCACTGGGAAAAAATCTCTGGCTTTGGGAGCCAACAGGAGTTCACAAACAGGAGGTTTAACTGATCGACCTCGTATGTTAATAGGCCAGAGGATGAGAGAGACACAGCACATCTTACACAGGCATTTACCAAATCTCTCAGACCCTCCTCACATGCAAGATGGAATAAGATAGATGTGCAGCTAACACAGAGAGCGGTGAATAATAAATCAATGTCTCTTGGGATGGAGACCTCCAGTGCACGTCACAGGATTCTGCTATTATCTCTGGTCTGCCGATACTTTCATCAAAGACTTACATGAGTCTGCAGTGCATGCCAACCAAGCTTGCAGGAGATCTGTAACTTGGAAGGAGAATTACTGCACTGTGGGGGCTGACCGATGGACATTCACGGGGGTTTAAATGCCTGAAGTTGTTAATTAATTCTAACACAGAATATGGGTAACAGTAAAGACCCACATTTAGGCATAAAAAAACCAAAATATTTACAATTTGATTAAAACTCTACATGGGGTATTCTTCAAGGGCTATTGGTTTGCCCTGAACTCAAAGAGTTGTTGTGTCTTGGATACTGAAACAGACCAAACCACCAACAGCGGGGCAGGGAAGTCATAGTCACTTTCTTTCAAGTACAGTTTTTTGTCTATTTTTCCCAGCCCCCCCTCTTCCCCCCCCCCCTCCCTAAAAGAAAATACCAATATCTCATTTAACAGGAAGCTAAAAAACAAACAAGTCAAACTATTCTTCACTTCGATTC